TCTCCTGTTGCATGCTGTTATTGTGATGTCCCTGAAACAGACACGTTTGATAAGCTCTTAAAAGCATGCACATTTATTGTGAGCTCTTTCTCAGAGGAACTTAGGAAGCTTCAATATTTAATACGTGTTTAATTTTCATGAAAAGCTAAGGTAATGGAATGATAAATATTAACTGTATTTTAAAAGCTGAATTTCATTTCTCTTGGTTATTAATATAGATACAGCGCAAAGAGGAGACCAGAAACCATTAACTTCATCAAATCCGGTATTAGACGAACTGGCAGAAGAAAAATTACCATGACTCTTTCTAGGCAAGAGGTAAGTTTAATTACCTGGCCTTAGGCAAAACCACTGTTATAGAATCCCAGATAGATGAGAATTAGCTGTTTATACTATTAATATGTATAATGTATTTCTGATATCCCCCCAAAATTACATAATCCACATAACTTGGCCTAAGTTATTTTAGCCCCTAATTTTAAGGAATGTTTTAAAGTGATAACTAGCTCAAATTCCCTTTTTTTCTGTTTAGGTTCTTTTCATCTTTGATTGGCCCTGACTCAGTCAATCGACTTTAATCTTTGTGCACCCTCAGCAGTCTGTCCCTGTTGTGTCCCTCTCTAGTGTGAATAGGGCTAAATGTAAGTGATAGAAGTATGATGTCTAGGTGAAAAGATTACATGTTTTGTACTTCTCACAGATTGACACGTTAGCAGTATTGTTTAGTTCTGCATATCACATTTTTAGGCTGGGCATTACACAAAAGGTAACTTTCGGAGGAATGATGACTGACTCTGGAAACCATGATGTGAAAATTAGGGGAAGGATATTTGGAATACTTAGCCTGAAGAGAAGAATTATTAGAGACACTTTAAAAAGTCCATTGAAAACAGATCTAATTTTAGAGCAAGTTTTAATATTCTTTGCAGTTTCATAAAGTAGAAGTAGGATAAATGGATAGAAGTTTGAGGGAAGTGGATTTCAGTTTTGAGAAGCAAAATGTATCTGTCAAAAATGGGATGGAATGTTTCATAAAGTGAGATGATTCCTGTCATTTGTCAGATACAAATCTGACAAGCACATTTTTGAGGTCATTTGTGTATTTGATGGGAGATAGCACTAGATGACCTCTTAAATTTCTAGTTTAATCTCAAACTTCTGTTAACCCAATGGGAACCCGATGGTTTCTATTTATTTTATGCTCTCAGATAAAGTTTTTGGGGTGTTTTTTGTTACTTTTAAAATGTTGGATCAACCTTTATTTTCTTAATTATATTTTCTGTTTTCATTGCTGTATAGCAGCTAATTTTTCTGTATGGTTCCAACAGCGCGTTAAAAACAGATGAAAAGCTTAGCACATGAAGCGTTCACAGGTTTCTGCTTGGTAAGCATTCTTAGCTTCATTGAAGCTGAGCCAGACCAGAACGTCGTAGACGTTTCAACAAAAGGACAGTGAGCACAGTGTTGCCTTAAGAAAAAAGTAGAATTCTTAGCATTCTGGGAGAAAGGAGGAAGGTTAGCCCTATTAAGTTTTGTTTAGAAACTGCTGCAGCATGCCACTGTTGTTTGAAAGATGCCATCTCCTGTGTGCCTGCGGTTATGATGATGTCCCTGAGAGAAACACGTTTACTAAGGCTTTAAAGCAGCAGCATGTAGGTGTGAGTTCTTTCCTCAGAGAACCGTTAGAACCCTCAATTAATTCGGTTTATTTCGATAAAGCGTAGTGAAGTGAATGATAAATCATTAACTGTATTAAAGCTGAATTGCACTTTCTCTTGGTTATTCATAGTAGATACACCAAAAGAGAGACAAACCATAACTTCATCAATCCCGGTATTAGAACTGAACTGCAGAAGAAAAATTACCCAGACTGCTTTCTACGCAAGGATGTAGAGGGTGTCTAGTATGATGAGTGGCGTGAAAAAAAGAAAGGGAAAGAGGAATCTCACAGGGTCTTAGGCGGGTACTCGCGGAGGGTGGTGCCGCCAGGAGACAGAGCATTCATATTGGTCGGTAGTAAAAATTGACGACCTAAATATACGGCGGCGTAGCACGGTCTTCATGAAGGTAAGATGAAGATCTCGCTTGCTAAGTATTATGCTTCTTAAGGGTTATCCTTAACGTAAATAACATGACTAGCATGGAGTAAATATGAAAGAGGTGGATATAGGTTGTAACGGGACGAAGGAGGGAGCGCTAGAAGAGGAGAGCGGGGCGCGCCGAGGGAGTAAGATGCCGTCCAGAGGAGAAGAGGGGAGAGGAGGGCGGAGGCAGCGAGGGCGAAGTATGGGAGGTTCGGAGGGCGGGGGGTTAAAGCGCATGAGCTTCAGCAGTGAGTTCCCAGTTAGTAGAATATACTAGTAGTGAATCATCCTGTATAATCATCTATGGCGTGTGAGTAGATGTGATTATGTCCTTTGGAAAAATGAAATGGGGATTTTTAGGCGAGAAAGCATAATGATTTTGAACTCTTGATACCGTCTTACAAATGCTCTGTGGTGAACATCAGATAGTCGTGCTTACCAGTGTATACTTCCACTTTAGGTTGTCCAGTTCCGGCTGCCAATTTCAGTTATTACTGTAAAAAGAGATCAAAAGACCAGGCGATTCGCGATATTCCGGGACTCAAGAGTTCAACGGTTATACAGAAAGGTATGTAAAACAAAAATGTCGCGTACCTCCTCCTGTCTTCGCACCACGGCTGAATGCACTTCAGCCCTTCTGCGTCCAGGAGTCAGTTCACTTAGCGCAGTATCGCAAGTTGTGCACTTTATCCTCGGCACAAGTAGGTAGGTGATGTGTTGTAGTCTTTTCACTTAGAATAACAGTTCAAGACCGATTTAGTCGTGGGTTGTATATATGATGAAATTAACAGGACGTATGTGAGCTTGGCAAGTTACCAGTCTATTCCTGAGTCGCTAGTATATGAATGAGACAAGCAATAGGTCTACCTCAGAGATTGTTGATGATTAATGAGGGGTAAGTGACAGAGAGAGAAGTCTTATAGTAGTACCAATATAATAGATAGTTTTAATAGTCGTGTAATTAAGTACCTTTACTGAGGATATTGAAGTTACTTCAGTGTTTGCTGGTTATAAAGACAGACTGCAAAGTGAACATGCGTTAGCAGTGATATTCTGATGTACATCGCTTGTCGTTATGAGTTTGACCAGTGGATGTATTCCCTACGAAAAGAGGCGTTTCTATGGCAAAGAGGTCTGGTTCAGTTGATCAGCATTAGGCCCGGCAATGTCCTACAAAAAGCTGTGCCAATTAATCCCCGTAAATTGTGAAGAGTGAGTCGGGCGGTATCATGTGGCGCGAGCGACGCGCGCGGCGGCCGTTAGTGTCGCGAGAGGAGTGGAGCCGTTTGGGCGCCCCCTCCCCCCCCCCCCCCCCCCCCCTAGCTGCTGAAGCATCTTATCATCTTCGATGTCTGAGTGCGGCAGTGGAAGAGGGAGGATACCTGTTTGAACTTGAACACTTCATGATATTATAAATTGAAGCAGTTTTAGGTGTGGTCACGTACTGCTCTTCGTTTTGTGGAATTGTACTTTCTATAACTTTTAAGATGGTCTTTTGATGATTCTGGAAGAATCGTGGTCTGCATACTATAAGAGGTTGACCTATTTTGGTATAACGTTGTATATGGTTAGAGTACCATATAGGCATACTTTTTTGTTTTTTGTTTTTTGAGACAGGCATTCGTTGTTGCGCACTGAGAGTGCCTGCGCGAGCCGCCTCACAGCAACCTCAACTCCGGCTCAGAGCCATCCTTTGCTCAGGCTCCCGAGTAGCTGATATCAGGCATGCGCCACATGCCCAGCTATTTTTTGGCGGCATCAGTATATATCAGTGGCCATAATTCTTTCATTGCTATAGTTAGAGATGCGGTCGTCGGTCTCGCTCTTGCTCAGCTGTTTTGAGACCTCACCCTGAGCAATCCCCGCTCGGCCTCCCAGGCTAGTTCAGCGTGACGCCACGTCGGCGTGCCCGCTAGCGATGTTTATCAGTGACATGATGCTGTTACATCAGATCTAAATTTTTATGTGACCACCAGATTTTCATTTGTGTGTGTCCTCACGGGGTCTCAAGTGCTTAGAAAGTTTCCCATTCCGAGAGGTAAAAAAGGCGTAATGTGAGTACGTGTTGTGCTGCCTTATGCAACTATGCTATATAGAAAGGATTTTCGCTGATATTGTCGATTTGCCTTAAATGAGCATGTATTAGATTTCATAATTGATGGAAATATGCTTTAAATCTGCTTTTCATGTCACAGTTTAGAATTCTGTACTTCATGACTTTAACAAAATTTATAGAATGTCTCTTTATAGTTGAACATGAAAGTTGATTAAAAGCAAGAGATTTTAAGAAGTGTCTTTGTCACAAGCAGACAGAGAGTTTATGTTGATTATATAGTTGTCGGCTAGTCAAACATGAACAGAATGGTGAAGATGGTTCCTGGCACATCAAGTACCTTATTGAAATGAGTAAAAGATTGATTTGTTTTTGTTGGTGTCTATGATGGTTTAATTCTTCTTGGCTTGTGGTGGATACTCCGTTGTCTGTGCGCTTTTTTTTTGTTATCTTTTATTTATATATCTTTTATAATTTTGAGGTCAGATCATTTATTACTTTGAACTCCTGACCTTGAGCAATCTGCACGCCTCGGCCTCCCAGAGTGCTGGGATTACTTGGCGTGAGTCACCGCGCCAGGCCTGGAAGGCATTTTAGTTTCTTCTCTTTGCTGTTGGACATGCTTACTAAAATAATACTGCAAGAAAAATACCAGTATTCATCACACATCAGTACCCAGACAGACCCATGGTGGAGGAAGGGTGGTTTGTCTCTGGAACTAAAAAAAAAAAAAAAAAAAAAAGAAAATCAAATTCTTGAAAATCTAAGAGTATTTTCAGAAAGTTTTTAAAGGTGCTTGTTGACTATGGGACATGAAATTTTTCCCAAGGATACATTATTAACTTAATTTTTTCCCTTAATAGGAAAATAAAAAATATTTCAAGCGTAGTGACCTTGCAAAAAAAGAAGAGGAAGCATATTTTGAAAGATGTGGCTACAAGGTATGAATGCGTGCTTTTATGTTAAAATTATATATTTCTGAGTTTAAATTTATGCAGCTATTGTTAAATGACAACATCATTGATCTTTGTTTAATTTATCGATGTTATACATTAGCCTATAAATGAGAAGCCATCTGGAGAGGTATGAGTTTTGGTTTTTGCTTTTCTTTTTTTTTTTTAATTTTGAATTTAGGAAAATACATGCATGACTTTTGGCTTGGAATGGTTTGGCTTTTTGTGGACAGCATGCAGTGGCTTGAGATCAAAGCTTGAATTAAAAAAAAAAAAAAATTAAATCCTGGATCTGAGACTACCTTATTTCCACCTCCACCACCACTGCTCTCCCTCACCTCTCCCAATAAAAGTAGATTTTGAAAGAGTTCAGACATTTTATTCATTCAGCAACAGTGATATTAGCAGTGGTATTTCCTCTGCTTTCTCCTGAATATTTTAAGCCATCACTTTTATGTTTGCATTGTTAAGAATTCCTTTTGGGCCCTAAGTACCTCTGCCTGAAATATAGCACCATATACATTTATATGCTTTTGTTGTAATAAGGTATCACATTTCAAACATTCTTTAGTCTATTGGATAGAAAATGTAATTTTGAAATACTTTTAAAAACAAATGTGTTATCTGGAAGGCTTTGCTTGTGTATTTTAGGAGCATGACTGAGATTATCTTTGAAATTACCTAGTTAATAATATATTGGGGTTTTTATTGGGAGGGGTTACAGGTTATGAGGTGGAGAAGTTATGTTTAAATTATTTTAAAATAACCTATACCTAGTACAATAATTTTTAACTCAAAGTTATGAGGTTCTATTGAAATACTTTTGTCAACTCATACATTTGAAATCAACTTTTTGCTTGTGAAACATATACACTAATACTCTTGTGCATGTAATGGGGAAAGTTCTGGAAGTTAATTTATCTGGCATAATATCTCTAAAAGGAAGCATGAGGAATGCAAATGGTATGTATATGCATTTGGTTTTATTTTGTAGTGTTGGAAGAGGGCAAGTATTAAAGAAAAACGTAGTTACATTTCTGATAGGTTTTTAGAATACAAAAGCTACTATTTCTGTTTTGATAATTTCCATAAAGATAATTTGTTTTATTTGCTTCTATTTTAGGAAATGAAAATACCTTTTATGTAAATAACCATTGAGTAGATAGAAGAGTTCTCATTTTACCTTGCCCAGCATTGTCTAATTCAATCTTGATTTGGAGTAAGAATCACTTACATAGGTTTAGTTTGCTAGCTTGCTGCATTTCCAGATCCCTAAATTTGAACCTTTTCAACTTTTTGATAAGGTAGGAAAATTGCTTGTAACTTTTGATTCCAGCTGACAGATTATTTTAGATCTTTTCCCCAGAGCTATTCACTGCCATTATGTAATTAAACATGCTTTTGTCCTGAGATTTTTTGAGAAATACCTGTTTCTGTGCTAAAAATGTAAGCACAGTTTTTTTTTAATAAAGATGTTTAAGATATTTCCTTCTTGATAGTAATAGCAATGTACTATGCATTACTTTTATTCCTTTACAGACACTAACTACCACTTTTTAAAGCTTGATGCTGATTTGGCCTGTGAAAATATGAAAATTTAGGTTTTTTTAATACCTCAGTTTTACTTCAGCATTAATTAGTTATGATAACTATAACCTTTAAGCATAAACTATAGAATCATGACTTATATGATTTTCACCATATAGCCTTTCTAATTGAATTTGAGTTTTTTCCTTAATGTTGATCTTTAATATTCTTCTTTTGGTCATACTCCTTTCAGCATTTTAGATTTATCTCATGGTCAGGTGGGAAACCATGTTTCAGTATCTGTTCACAGATTGCAGTGAGGTTTATGAATTGCTGAGCTGTTTTCCTAAACTGTGACTTGGGCAGAAAATTTGAGAAAATAGGTGAAGAGTTTTTTTTCCCCTGTAGGTTGTTATAAACAAGAGAGTCCACTCTTTCCTTGAGTGGCATTAGTAGAGAGGTACTTTTTTCATTATTTTTCTGTAAGGTTTTTAGCTCAGTTTGTGGGCCAGTTCTGTATAGCACTGAATTTTTCTGTATGTCCAACAGCGATTTCTGTGCATTTGGAATAATAAGCTTTTAAAAACAGGATGGGAAAAGCTAGCGCATGAAGCTTCACAGGTTTCTGTTGGAAAGCAGTTCTTTAGTCTTCATTTTGAAGCTGAGCCAGAATGCAAGACTCTGTAAGACGTTTTTCTTAAAAGGGACAGAGCAAGTTGGTTGCTTTTAAGAAAAAAGTAGAATTCTTTAGCATCTGGGGAGAAAGTGAGTGCAGATTTTAGCCCTATTAAATTTTGATTTTAGAAACTCTGATAGTCATGCCACTTTTTTATAGCAAGAATGCCATCTCCTGTGTGCATGCTGTTTATTGTGATGTCCCTGAAACAGACACGTTTGATAAGCTCTTAAAAGCATGCACATTTATTGTGAGCTCTTTCCTCAGAGGAACCTTAGGAAGCCTTCAATATTTAATACGTGTTTAATTTTCATGAAAAGCTAAGGTAATGGAATGATAAATATTAACTGTATTTTAAAAGCTGAATTTCATTTCTCTTGGCTATTAATATAGATACAGCCAAAAGAGGAGGACCAGAAACCATTAACTTCATCAAATCCGGTATTAGAACTCGAACTGGCAGAAGAAAAATTACCCATGACTCTTTCTAGGCAAGAGGTAAGTTTATATATGAGTGTTTCGTGAAAAAAAAAAAAAGAAAAATCTCCACAGTGTTTACATTTATCTCCAGTTCTTTCCAGTAAATTAAATGTCATTATTTTTCTATAAAATGATTTACTGACCTAAAAATGCTGTGCAGCTAGACAGTTTTCTTCATGAAGTTGTAAATTAATCTCTGCTTTTCTTAATAGTATTATCTTTTCTTAGAGTATATCCTTTGTAAACTTTAAAAAATAAACATGACTATTCTAGATAAATATTAAATGTATATATTTTAAATATATGTAAATTATCTGTCTAAATTATTTTAGTATATTGTAACCTACTTTTCTCTCCCTTATTTAATAGTACATCTTTCCAGATAAAAATATAGAGATCTATGTAATTTTTAATGACAATTTCCCATTGTTTGTATGACAATATTTTAAAAATCATTTCTTTATTAATAGCCATTTGGATTGCTTCAGCATATCCCTATTATAAATAGTACTAAGATGAACATCCTTGTATAGACATCATTACATGCATAGTAATGTGTGATTATTTCCTTTGGAAAAATTTATAAATGTGTGATTTTTAGGGCAAAAACTATACATATTTTTGAGACTTTTGATACATATTACCAAATGGCTCTGTAGACATTAGATATGTTGTACCAGTTTATACTTCCACTTGTAGTGTTTGTCCATACCCTGCTCAATTTCAGTTATGATTTTACTTAAAAAAGAAAAAAAACAAACCCAGATTTCACGATATTCACGTGACTCAAAGAATTCAAACGTATACAGAAAGGTATAAAACAAAAATGTCTTACCTTCCTCCTGTCTTCTGCCACCACTCTGAATCACTTCTCAGCCCTTCTGCTGTCCAGAGTCATTCACTTAGCAGCAGTATGCAAGTGTGCACTTTTATCCCTCTTGCACACAAGTGAGATTATATGCATTTGTATGTTCTTTTCACTTAGAATACATTTCAAAGACCATTTTATGTCAGGGTGTGTATATATAGATGAAAATTTTAACAGTAAGTATGTGACTTTGGGCAAGTTACCCAGTCTATTTCCTGATTGCTTTATATATGAATGAAGACAATAATAGGGTCTACCTCATGAGATTTTTATGATTAAATGAGGTAATACATGATGAGAATAGTACTTAGTAGTAAGTACCAATAAATTTAGATAGTTTTTAATAGTTCTGTAATTTAAGTTACCCTTTTACTGATGGATATTTAAGTTACTTTCAGTGGTTTGCTGTTATAAACAATGCTAAAGTGAACATCCTTATGCATATATCTTGATACATTTGTATGAGTTTACCAGTAGGATAATTCCCTACAAAAGGAGTTTCTAGGCAAAGAGGGTCTGTTTCATTTTTGATAGCATATCAAATTGGCCTACAAAGAAGCTGTGCCAATTTAATTCCCATAAATTTGTAAGAGTATTAAGTAGTTTCCTAGCAACTCTGTCAAGTCTTTATTCTAAAATGTTTTATCCTTTGCCAATCTGAAAGCAGTCTTATCATTACTTTAAATTTTGACAGAGTGGGCAGTGAAAAAAATACCTTGTTTTAACTTGAAACTTTCTGTTAATGATTATTAAAATTGAACATGTTTTTATGTGTTTGTTGGTCACTAATGTCTCTTCTTTTGTGGAATTGCTACTTTTATAACATTAAATTATAGGTCTTTTTATTGATTTGTAAGTCAATGTGTTTATATATTAAAGGTGTTAACCTATTTTTATAAGTGTATATGTGTTAGATGTACATATAGTGCATACTTTTTTTTTTTTTTTTTTTTTGAGACAGAGTCTCGGTTTGTTGTCCAGGCTAGAGTGAGTGCCGTGGCGTCAGCCTAGCTCACAGCAACCTCAAACTCCTGGGCTCAAGCGATCCTTCTGCCTCAGCCTCCCGAGTAGCTGGGACTACAGGCATGCGCCACCATGCCCAGCTAATTTTTTCTATATATTTTTAGTCGGCCAATTAATTTCTTTCTATTTTTAGTAGGGTCAGGGTCTCGCTCTTGCTCAGGCTGGTTTCGAACTCCTTACCTTGAGCGATCCTCCTACCTTGGCCTCCCAGAGTGCTAGGATTACAGGCGTGAGCCACTGCACCCGGCCTGCTTCCTTTCTTTTTTTTAAGTGATGGGATTTTACTGTGTTGCCTATGATGGAGTGCAGTGGCGTGATCGTAGCTCACTGCAGCCTTGAACTCCTGGTTTCAAGCAATCCTACTGCCTCAGTCTCCTTATTTGTTGGGACTACAAGCATACGCCACTATGCCCAGCTAATTTTTTCTTACTTTTTTTGTAGAGACAGGGTCTCAATTTGTTGCCTAGGCTGGTCTTAGAACTCCTGGCCTTAAGCCATGGGCTTGATCCTCCTGCCTTGGCCTCCCAAAGTGCTGGGATTACAGGCACGAGGCACCGCCCTTTGGTGGCAAGCATCTGTATTTCAAAACAAGTGTTTGATCACTTAAAATATGTTAACATAAGGGACTACTATTGTCTTTTGATTTTTTAAAAGAAGGCTAAGAGCAGTTATAATTATGTAAAATGACCAAAAGCTCATCCCTCAGTTTTTTTTTTTCCCAAAAAGTAATTTCTTTTTTGTCTTACAGAAAAAGGGATGGTTTATATTAGGGGTTTGCTTTAGATTTGAATTGTAGATTCATAGACTACTTTCTAGGAGGTATTTAATCATAAATTAACAGTGACATTTGAGTCAAAATATTAATAGATTTTTAACTAAAGTACTTGATTTTCTCTTTCATTCTTAGACATCTTCATTTAACGTAATTGAAATGATGAAAATATTTGAAGGATTTTATATTTTACTCAGAAATGTGTTTGGATAATTAAATTAGTTTTATTAAACCCAGGTTTCAGTTTTGAGGTAAAAACTGTACAGATTATTTTGAGAGCTTAATTCTTTTTTTCCTCTCAAGTTAAATTTACTGGGCATTTGTTTCACTTTATAGGTTATCAGAAGATTGAGAGAAAGAGGAGAACCAATCAGACTATTTGGAGAAACTGATTATGATGCTTTTCAACGTTTAAGAAAAATAGAGATCCTCACACCTGAAGTTAACAAGGTAAGAACAAATCAGAACAAAGCTAGAAAAATGCCACTGTATCACATAAACTAGAATGGAGTCTGCCTGATTGCATTATTACAGGTAAAAATGGAAAGATAAAGTTGTCAGATTACTACTGCTAATGTAAATTTTCATTAATTTTTTAAAAAGCACATACCTTAAGTTTGGTACATTTCAGTAAACACATACAAGCATATAACCACTACCGTTATGAAGGTATGAAACATTTTCGGCACCCAAGAAAGTTCCCTGTTGCCCCTTTCTTAGCCAGTCCCCACAGCCCTCCTCCTCCACTCTTGGCCAGGCACCTTTTGGAGTCTATCATCACAGATTAAATTTTGCTTGTTCTAGTATTTCATATGGATAGATTCATAGAGTACATGTCTGGCTTCTGTCTTTCAATGGAACAGCTTTTAGCTTCATCCGTGTCATTGCGGGTATCACTAGTTTCCTTTTCATTTCCCAGTGATCTTCAATTGTATGAATATGTCACAAATTTTTTCCAGCTTTGGGCTATTAGGAATAAAACTTCCTGTGAACATTCTTACACACATCTTTTTTGGAACTCATTATTTCTCTTGGGGAAATATGTTATATCTCTTGGGGAACTACCTAGAAGTAGAATTGTTGAATAATAAAAGGATATGTATGCCTAACTGTATGAGAAATGCCAGTTATTTTCAAATATCAGAGTTTGGTATTGTTAGTCTTTTTCATTTTAACCGTTCTCTTGCATGTGCACTAGTATCTCATTGTGGCTTTATTCACATTTCCCTGATGACTAAAGATGATAAGCACCTCTTCATATACTTATCTTCTTTGTGCAGTGTCTGTTAAAGTCTTTTGTTCATTTTTTAATTGGATTGTTTGTCTTTTTGTTAAGGAATTATAGTTCTTTATGTATTCTGGAGATAAGTCCTTTGTCAGATATACAGCTGTGTTGTGTGACTATTTTCTCCCAGTGTGTGGCTTACCTATTCTCTTAATGGAATCTTTTGCTGAGTAGAAGTTTTAAATTTTGATGAAGTCTAGTTTATCTGTTTTACCTTTTATGGTTATTGATTGTTGTGTCCTTAAGAAATCATTGCCTGTCCCAAGGTCTCAAAGAGATAGTCTTTTTAATTTTTTTTCTAAAAGCTTTATTAAGTTTTTGCTTTTACATTTAAGCCTGTAAGGTTCTGATCTTGTTTTATGGCTCAGCATAGGGTCTATTCCATGGTCTCTTGAAAAGATAATGTTTTTGCCTTAGTTATGCAGTTCTACAATGTCAATTAAGACAGTGTTCAGGTCTTCTGTGGCCTTTTTGTTTCCTTACTCCATCAATTGCTTGGAGACAGGTGTAGTTATTTATGGCTATGTAATAGACCAACCCAAAACTTAGTAGTGTAAAAGGATTTATTATTATAAAATCTTGTTTGACTATTGGTGACTGTAACAAACCACCCTGAAACCTGGTAGCTTAAGATAATTTATTAATATCTCTAACAGTTCTGTGGTTTGATTGGGCTGGACTGGGCAGGTTTTTGCTTGAGGTCTTTCGTGTGCTTGCAGCCAGGTGAAGGCTGTGGCTGAAGTCATCTGAAGCCTCACGTGGACTGGTCTTCGAAGCTGGTGTCTTTGCCCACATGCCTGGCATCTCAGTTGGAATGGCAGGGACACCCAAGCTGGCTGGGCCCTGCTTATTCCACATGCTGTTTGCTAGCTTGGGATCTCTCACTGCTTTCCTTATTCATTGCAGAACCCCTTTCCAACCTCACTTTTCAGCATTGCCCTCCCAGCCCCACAATACGGACAGTTGCCTGAGCACTTTCTGTCCTCTGTGACCGCAGTGATGATTTTTCCTATGCCTGCTGTGTTCCTCTCTTGTATGCCTTGGCTGAAATCTTGTCCTTACGCTTTCAGACACAGTTCAAAGATTATGTCTCTTCTCTGAACCTATCCTTGATCCCATTTGAAATTAATTGCTTCCTTCTCAGTGCTCCTACAATTAAACTTCTGTTAGTGCACTTACTATATTTCATTAGTATTAGGGTACGTGCCTATGTATCTTGTTTTTGAGCAAGGGCTGTTTTATTTTTGAATGCCAAGTTTAGTACCTTGAATGTAGAGGGTTTTAGGAAAGAGCACAGGAGCCTAAGGTCTGGATTCCATTTCTGGATGATTAATTATGTGACTGTTTGTGCCTTATAATCCTCCTTTGGAAAACACAGGCAGTCATACCTGGCTCACTGGGTATAGTGAGAATTAAATGAGAAAACCTTTGGGAACATGTGGCATTATACTTCATACATAGCAGGTGCTCAGTGAATGGTAAAAGAGTTTTGAGTTGAATGTTTCTCTTCTGTGTTTATGAAAGGACAGTAGACAATGATTAAATGCTTCTAATACTGTAACATTAGGAGTTAACACATGTTGAATGCTTACTGTGCTCTAGTGACTGTTCAAAACGTACTATACATTTATGAATTGATTTATATAACTTGATGTTTGTAAGGCACTGGAACAGTCCCAGTACATAGAAAGTGTTAAATAAAATAAAAATCCTCATAACAACCATCATGTAAATAGTACTACTATTCCCATTTTATAGGTGAGGCAACAGGCATACAGGGATTAAATAAGTTGTCCAAGAGTGGGTAGGTGGCAAGGATTTGAACCCAGGTGGCAAGGATTTTTTCCTGTCACTTTCTCAACTGCTGCCCTATGGCCGTCTCATGGCCATGGTGCCCTGGCTCTCGAACCTTCCAGCTGATTCCCACTCATGTGTAGGAACTGGAGGCTTCCATTTTTTATTAAATGATCATAAACTGGACATGCCTGAAACATGGCATTTGCTGGTTTGTTAGAAACATAGCTGAAGCCTGTGATATAGATGAGACACCAGTTGTATTCCATTGACATTTCTGAATGTTGTGGGTGTTCAGAGTAGTTGAAATGAGGTTAGACATTGTCAGTGAACCGGGAACATGGGTTGGGGACTCTGATGGAGACCTGGTCACTTTCATTAATCCTCCTTAGGAAATTACAGCATTGATGAAGATTCTCATTTGGAATTGTCATTCACATCTATTTTATTTTTCCCATTATCAGACTTGCCATTGTTCATACATTCTTTTAAGTGTGTTCATAAGAATTAACTTTAAATGGACAGTAATTTTAGTTGTAGAATAAATTGATGTCATTTGAGTCCCTAGTTTTGCCAAGGTCTTAACTGCTTGTGGGAAAAAAAATGAATTGTATATATTGTTAATGAAAAATCACAGAGGAAACATCAATGAAATGTCATAATGTACTTTTCTCAGGGATTGAGAAATGACCTGAAAGCAGCTTTGGATAAGATTGATCAGCAGTACCTCAACGAGATCGTGGGTGGGCAGGAACCCGGAGAGGAAGACACACAGAATGATTTGAAAGTTCATGAAGAAAACACCACAATCGAAGAGTTAGAGGTAATCTCTGTGCCCAGCCCAGCCCCTTCCCTCCCCACCCCGTTTCTTCTGGAGCAGGTGGGTGAGTGGATCACATCTTTCTGTGCAGAGCACCCTGCCATGTTTGGTCAGTGCAAAGGCCCTTCATTTGTTTCCTGCTTTTACTTATATACTCTTCTTTTTTTCAGTCTCCACTCACAGTCCTCTACTTCTTACCTTCAAAAGTAATCATTCTGATATGTTAGATGCGCAAAAGCCTGTGGTGTTTTGTGTGCACATATTTTTGATTTATAGGAATGATAATTGTGCTGTGAAATTCTTTATTCTTTTTTGCTTTTCTTTTTTACACTCAGCACCATGTTCTTAAGATCCATCCTTGATGCTTTATGTACATTTAATCCTTTGCTTTTAATTGCTCCATAATATTCCACATATTATGGCATTCACTACATTTTACTTTTTGTTCCCCCATAATGACGGACAGCTAGATCCATCCCAGCTCACTGTTAACACAGACAGCTTTGTGACAAACAATCTTGTGTATAAGCACTCTGGGCTAAAGAAGTGGGATTGAGGGATTTGTATATGTGTATTTAACTTGTCTAAGTGCTGCCAAGTTGCTCTCTGGAGTGGCTGTCCCAGTCTGTACCCGCTCCAGCAGCATGTGACAGTCTTGTGTCCTTCCATCCCTGCCAACACTTGGCAATGCTTTGTTCTCTAATTTGTGCCGCAGTGTTGCATATGGAGTGATATATGTAATTTTAATTAAGAAGTGTGGTTGTATCATGTAAACATCTAGCTTGTGAAAAAATATGGCTTAGTTTTAAGCTCTTAATGCTTAATGAAGCATAAACTGTTACTTTCCTGTTTCCTTTCATTCCTGGCTCTTGCACACGAAACTGTCTCTCTGAGATCATAGTTGAGGAGGATGTCATTTTAATCCCCTCCCTTCTCCAACATCTATTGTATGGTTTCTGAATTTTACTACAATAACTGGTATGGGCAACCACTTGTGGGCTTTTTTCTTCTTCTTCTTTTTTTTTTTTTTTGTCACAGCTTTATTAAGATTCACATACCATACAATTTATCCATTTAACGTGTACAACTCAGTGATTTTTAATACTTTCACAAGGTGGTGCAACCATCATCATCATCTAATTTCAGAACATTTTTGCTTCCACCCCGCAAAAGAAGTGTCATAGCCATTAGCAGTCACTCCCCTCACCCCTCCTTGTCTTTTGATTCATAAGAGATAACATGCTGTCTAAATTTAAATGGCAAATCAGCACTTTTTTTTTTTTAACTTATCTAGCAAAGCCATGAGGTTTTTAAATAAAAATTGAACAGCATATGTGACAAAGAGCCACGTGTAGACTGGTGTCGATCATATATATTCAGCTGTTCTCGGTGCTAATGAACCAAAGCATTTTTGCTCTTTTTCAGGCCCTTGGGGAGTCCTTAGGGAAAGGTGATGATCACAAAGACATGGACATCATCACCAAATTCCTAAAGGTGAGTATCTGAGGCTAGGGAAGAAAGGACATTTTAGATGCTTTAAGACCTCTTTTATACTTTTGGATTATCAAGGGTTAAAGGCTGGAAAGGGAAACCCTCAGTAAACTTTCTTGTATGTGCACTATGTTTATGATATCGCTGTGTACTTGGATATAGCAGTTAATGAAAGGAAATGTGTATTTACTTTCCTTGGTGGCACATTTTTTTAAAGCTAGCTTATTAATGTAAACACAGAAAAGAATCACAACAGCAGAATGGACAAGAAATTTGGGGGAATTTCTTGTTTTTTTTAAACACCCTAGGAAGGAGTGCAATGGAGATTTCCAGAAGCTGTTTTGAGAGGCTGACAAGGAAAGGAAGTAGGTGGAAGGACATTGGCAGTGAAAACAAGTAACTGCATCTGCAACCTTTCAGGGTGTTCATTTCTTCAGGTCTACAGATCGGTGCCTGTTTTTTGCTATGATTTGCTAATTCCATCTTTCTTCTCAGCATTTCTCTCTTTAGTGGTCTCGGTAGAGTGGGCAAATCCCGAATTCATTTTAACATTTACTTATAAACTATGCTCAGGCTAAGAGATTTGAATGCATGAAATGGTTTTACTTAATGTACAGTTTAACACTACACACTAGTCATCAAGATTCTGAATACATTGAGGATATGGCATAGAACTAGAAAGGGCATGGAAACTAGTAGAATCGGAATTTCCCCTTGGAATGATGGCTTTCCTTATGCAGCGTATGCAGGGGCGTGCGTCCTGCTCAGCCTTCTCTGTTGCCAGCTTCAAGAGAAGTGCTCTTTATGCAGTTAAACCCAAGAGGTCCTGGGGTAGTTTTCTGGGGCTGGGGGTGAGGAGCAAGAGGAATGGGTCATGGTATCTTTTATTTCTGTTCCTTTCTTTCCTCCTTCTTTAGTCAGGTGCTTTAGTGGGAATTTTAAATTGTTTTGGTCTCTACTGCCTAAGTAGAAAGTCCAGATACTACAGCTTGGAAAACTGATTAAATGTCACAGTGCATATGATATTGTGGATGATAAGTCTAAGTTGGTTTAATGTTATGTAATAGAAGTACAAGTAAAAGTTTATTTCTATCAAATAGTTAGCTATAACATTTGATAGTTCTTTTTTATGGGAGGGGGAATAGATTATCTTGAGCTAGGAATATGTATAGACTAGGGAAGTTTGTCACTTGCCAGAGGCACTACTTCATAAAACATACGTGACAACTTAAACAGAAATAGCTCATTAATTAATTATTATTTGATGCTATTTTAATCAGTTAAACATTTACTTTAAGGATGATGGTGTTCTGTTTTGTCCTTTTGAGAGCTTTTAAACTTACTGAACCACTGGGTGGCATCGTAGTCTAAATTTACCATTCTTTCAACAGTTTCTTCTTGGTGTTTGGGCTAAAGAATTGAATGCCAGAGAAGATTATGTGAAACGCAGCGTGCAGGGGAAACTGAACAGTGCTACTCAGAAGCAGACTGAGTCCTACCTCAGACCACTTTTCAGAAAGCTACGGAAAAGGGTGAGGCTTCTTGGAAAATGCTTTCATTAGCTGACTTTTAAAAAATAGAATATATAGATTTAGAATTTTTGCAGTCTGTTTTTCACTACCCATTGTAGCTTCTAAAATTAATTTTTTCTTTTCCAGAATCTTCCTGCTGATATTAAAGAATCAATAACAGATATTATTAAATTCATGTTGCAGAGAGAATATGTGAAGGTACGTTAGTTACCATGTTGTGCATTGAAATTGTTGGCCAGGCGTGGTGGCTCACGCCTGTAATCCTAGCACTCTTGGAGGCCGAGGCGGGCGGATTGCTCGAGGTCAGGAGTTCAGAACCAGCCTGAGGAAGATCGAGACCCCATCTCTACTATAAATAGAAAGAAATTAATTGGCCAACTAATATATATAGAAAAAAATTAGCCGGGCATGGTGGCGCATGCCTGTAGTCCCAGCTATCCGGGCTGAGGCAATAGGATTGCTTGAGCCCAGGAGTTTGAGGTTGCTGTGAGTTAGGCTGACGCCATGGCACTCACTCTAGCTTGGGCAACAAAGTGAGACTCTGTCTCAAAAAAAAAAAAAGAAATTGTTATGAGCATATCTAGGTTATGTACATAATATAATGTTTATTTGGGTTGCGAGGGTTTTACATAGTAGATTTAAGGATAAATGTGAAATGAGCTAGTAGTAAAAAAAGTTTTATTGTTAGGCATTGAATAACAGACCTTGGGACTATACTGTATTTTCTTAGTCATTCTTAAAAGTAGGTCTAAAGGTTCTTCAGAACATAAACTGTATGTAGGCAGTGTTCATTTTATGAATGGGGTTGAATTTTGAAGTGTGTAACTGGTTGATTATGGCATGGAACAAATTTTCCCATAGAAACAATGTTATGTAGATTAGTTTCCCAGGCAGCTATGAAAGTCTGTGTAATCTATAACATAGTTGAGCTATTATATTGATGATACCATGGAATTTAACCACTCTTTGTAATTGTTGCTATAGGGAAATGGTCCAAGTTAGACCGCCATTTCTCCTCTATTTCAGTACTGCAGCAATAGTAGACCCCATGCAGGGAAAGACTTTTCTCCCTTGCTCCAGTCTCTTCCCTCCTGAATGGGCTCTGGGAGGAGGCTGCAGAGGGAAAGAGCTCTGATGGCCGGGGCTCTTGGGGTGGAGTTTAGAAAGCCGAGGGTGGAGGACTATCCACTGGTAGAGCAGAACAGGAAGAGAAGGGTCCCATGCATCCATAGTGGGGATTTGAGGTAGAACAGAGTTTGAAGAGGCTTCTTGTTCCTGTGCCTCTCTAGAGACTAGGAGTGGAGCATTTCAGTGCAGCCATCGCAGTGACAGAGCAGTAGAAAAGTGGAAATGGCATTGCTTATTTGGTGCTGTATCTGTATACTCATGGGAGAAGGGATGCTGGCATCCCTGGGTGACTGGGTGGTTTGCTTGTTCAGAGCCTTAGCTAATGAAGCTATTGTGTGATTTTACGCCTTGTAAGAGCCAGTCAGTGTTCTCAAAGAAAATATTTTTGCCTTATGGTTATAAATTTTATTCTTAGTTTTTGTCAGTTGCACGATTCTTACTGGGGATGATTGTGTTGGATGGACAAGGTCACCACCACTATAGAAAGAATACAAACCACCACCTGCCTGCTAGAGTGGCTGCCTTTGCTCTTCTTGCTTTTTCTCATCAAATCAGACCTTAGATGCAAGCTTATTTTGCATGAACTATAAAAAGAACAAAGGAACTTTAATAACCTGTTTGGACAATTTTCTTTGGAATTTTGGGGAAACTAAATATTGGAATTTTTATCAGTTAAAGTCCAGTGTTAAAAGTTACACACATGAGGATCAGTGATACATACATACATATGCCCTTCTAAAAAATTAAGCTTTATAAAATCTATTGAGCAGAGCAAGTTCAAGTTCAACTTTTGGTTAGAAAATGATCTTCCAGATACCTCAGTGTAGTACCTGAGTTTTTAAAAATCAGCTCAACATATCAATCATGTAAGTGTTTGATTTTTGAGGTTAAAATCTCTTTGAGGCTTGGCTTATAAGTTTCTCTGAAACCCTCAGGGTCTTTTAGAATTTACTTGCTATTTATTTTTATCCTCCTCCTTTTCTCACAACTAGTCAAGCTTGGTTAAGAAAAAGAGCCATTTGTCTTCATTGGTTTCTGTCTTTACTTCTTGTAGCTTTTCTTTCTAGGTTCTTGGCAGGTGGGTGGTTTAGGGGGGCCAAAATGAACTGATCTCACCCTTCAGCTATTTGACTCTAGGGCCAGTATTTCCTCTCTGTTTACACATCTGTTATGGACGCTGTGTGGTCATCCCAGCACACAGAGCCCCCTACTGCCTTCAGAGAACTGTGGTGCTATGCAGGAAGTAGCTATCGTTTTAGGTTGGATTATTAAAAACTAGTTATCCTCTGTCTTCTACATGACCACCTATGGAGAAGACTGGGTCTAAAGGACACTGAAACTTGAATTTCCATCAGTGCATCACATTATCTACCAGCCAATTCCAGATTTGAAATATGTTAATTTCTAACACACAAAGGCCTCAAAGGAATGTTTGTCTTTTTCACTCATAACCTAACTTTGGTTTCTGTTTTTCGTGGACATTTGTTGTCCTGGGCAGGACAGTCAGTCACCCCATATTTTAATCTCTTATTTGAATAACGGAATGGTAATACTTTCACTATGCCCAAGATTTGGAAGAAAATTATATCATAAAGGGCTGTGAAATACTTGAAATAATAATTTGGACCAACACAATATTTTTGCCTTTCTGATTGATTTCTTCTCAATTTTTCCTTTCAGGCGAATGATGCTTATCTTCAGATGGCCATTGGAAATGCGCCTTGGCCCATTGGTGTCACTATGGTTGGTATCCATGCCAGAACTGGTCGGGAAAAGATTTTTTCCAAGCATGTTGCACATGTTTTAAACGACGAAACTCAGCGGAAGTACATTCAGGTAAGCGGTTTGGAAGGACAGGAATTGTCCTGGAGGTTGACATTCTCTGATTCCCAAAACTATAGTCTCGAGAGGAGGCAAAGAATTGTCATAAATAGGAAATACTATGATAGGATCCAAGTCCTCTTTGGGTAAGTGCATTTAAGAAACCTTCACTGAATAAAGTAAAAACCTTTTAACTTTCATATATGATGGAAGACAGGTTTAAGTATTGTACTTTAATTACATTAGCACTGAATGAAACTATTGCCCCCCCACCTTTTTTTTTTTTGTAATAGAAATGAAGTCTTGCCTTGTTACCCAGGCTGGAATGCAGTGGTGCGATCATAGCTCATTGCAACCTCAAACTCCTGGGCTCAAGCAATCCTCCTGCCTCAGCCTCCAGAGTAGCTGGGACTACAGGTGTGCACCAACAGGCCCAGCTAATTTTTTAATTTTTTTTGTAAAGACTGGGTATCACTGTGTTGTCAGGCTTGTTTTGAACGGGGCTCAAGCAATCCTCCCACTTTGGCATCCCAAAGTGCAAGGTATGAGCCACCAATGCCCAACATTTTGCTTTTGTTAAAAAAATATACATTAACAAGTAAAACTTGAGCTAATGCAAAAAATTTGACATATATATAAAAGCTCTCAAATTGGGAGTTTAATGAAGAGCAACAAATGTAGAATATTTTACAATAAATCTCGATTTGTTGCATTTAAGATGGATCTAACATCTATTAGGCTAAATAGGTATGGGGAATAAAGACTTGGCTTTAATGCATATAATCATTTTTAAGTAGCATGTAACAATATTTCTTTGGTCATGCCAATAGGTCTAAAGTGTTTATAGTTTATTTTCTTAAAGTTATGCATGTCTCACCTAAACTTGTTTGCATTTTTGTTGGGCTAAACTTTTCTCCTTAGTGGGGGAAAAAAAATATCAACTATCTAGCCCTTGCCAAATTGTCATAAATGCCACACTGTATAATGACTTTTGTTGGATGGTAATTCTAAAACTTGAAGATGATACTCTGAAAGTTTACTTAAAATTTAAAGTTCACTTAAAATGCATAAAGTGCTTCCAGATTTCGTGCCAGAACACAGTCATTACCATATTCATGAATTATCTTTTTGTTTGTATTTCACTTCCAAGTGCTGAATGTTAATTTGTGTCATGCTTTATGCCTTATTCACATATATTAGCATTTTAAAATATGATTTCAATCTGACTTCCTAATGTGAACTGTAGACTTTATAGAGTTCAAATATACTTCTGGAAACTCAAGCACATTTCCATTTCTTAATAACCACCAGTGACTTTTATTAAAGGCAGAAGATTTTATTGGGGAAAAAGTGTTGTTTGGCTGTAACAATAGAAAACAGTTCTCGGGGTTTAAATTTGTTAATTGTGTTCGTGTATACCGTGGCCAAAGCTATAGAATGTAAAAGTCCATGTGATTTTAGATAAATTGTCTTAAAGCATTTCCTTTTGTAAATAATGGTTTGATTTCCACCCCACCCCATAGACTGATTTTCATTTTTAAAGAATACCTAGTGTTTATTCAAGATTTCTGGTTTATTTTGGAAGCTACATAGTGACCTTTCCTTTCTCCCTTTTTCTTCCTTTAACTGTTCTCTTCCCATTAAAAAGAATTCTCCTTTTTTCTCCCATAGTAATTAGGGAAAATTGGTGAGCACATTGTATCTGAAGTTTATTGACAGACCCAGTAATGTTCTTGGGGACAGAGCACAGTCAGAGGTGGACTCAGCTCCTTGACAGAGGAAAGCCATGGGACACTGAATGAATAACGGACCCACGTCTCTTTGTGTGGGTGCTGGTGACATATGCCACAGGGTCTTAGTGACCTCAGTGCTATGCTGTGCAACATTTTTATGACTGACTTTGGTGACTTTGCAGAGAGATGGGTTTATCAGATTTGCAGACAAGAAACTAGAAGAGATAAGGATGTATATTTTATATTTGGGTAGAAAAGAAGTTGATACTCCAGAAGTTCTTGACGGACTAGAGAGAAGGGCAGATTCTGAAAATATAATATTTAGCAAGGATGACCGTAAGAAAATTTGGATCCATAACCCACTTGGTGAAGTATACAATTTGAGCAGTGGGTATAAGAAAGAATTAGGGAATTTAGTGGACTAAATTAAGCACAATAAAGTTGGTAGTATGATATGGCCACCAGAAAGGCTAATGATAGCTTATGCTCCATTATTAGACCTAATAATTTAGTGTAGGCTCCACAGGGCAAGAGCATAGTTCACTGTTGTACCCCTAGAATCCAAAACAATGTCTGGCTCCTGGTGGGTGCTTAATAAATATTTGCTGATTGACTGCTTCATAGAACAGGAGAGGTGACAGTTGAGTTCTTTTTCTAGTCCTTGGGATTTGGTGGAAATCTGGGCAAGAGGTCCTTAGATACTGGTAGAACTTTGTGGTAGAAGAGGATTAAATTTATCCTATACAATTAAGGACCAATTAAAGTCTAAGTGGACAGATTTTGGGTCAGTGTAAAGAAAAGCTTTTTAAAAACTTTTTTATTTTAAAATAATTATAGATTCACAAGAAGTTGTAAAAATAATATGAAGAAGCTTTTTAATAGGCAGAACTGTCCGAAGGTAGGAGCATGGCTGGCTTGGAAGATCGGGGACATAGCTTTCTACAAGCACTGATTTACCTCTTGTTGGGCCAATAGGGCCAAGTCTGGTCCTTAAATTTCTTTGATGCTTCTCTGCCATTTTTCTTATAGGCCATTGCTTAAACCTAAAGTTGCCACTCACATGCCCACAAGAGTCAGTCAGATAACAGGAAACCTCTGGCCTTCTGTCTCTCTTCTGTTTTCCTACTTTTTATATAAGCACAGATAGAGGCAGCGTTTCATTTTCCTCAACTCTGCTATAAGAAAAATGAACAATGCAAACACAATGTTAAATGTCAGCTTATGTTTTTAGCTCCTCTCTTGTTAGGAGTCACTTGAACTCATTCTTTCCCTATAGGAATATGTTTCCAATGTTGCTCAGTCATTGTCGTCTTTTTTTAAATTGGAAGCTAAGATCTTGGGTTTTAGAAAAGTATACTCTCTTATTTTTAAAGTATTGTCAGCACATTAAAAAAATAACATATTAACATTATATAAGGCTAAAGAAAATGCCAGTTTATGATCTGTGTCTTAAACCTATAGCTAGCTCAAGAAAAAGAATGCTACCACCCCGGTTAGGGTTAGGTGAAATTCTTGGTTACAGTCAACTGAATAATTTACTGAGCTGTCTTATGAATCACGCTCTTGTCACTTTGGTATCTAGGTGAGGTTGATTTGAATTATCCTAAAAAAGGTAAAATTTCAGTGTATCATTTGAAGTTTAAGTCAGGGGTTGGCAAATTTCTTAAAGGGTCAGGTAGCAAGTATCTTGGGCTTTGCACTTCATACGTACGGTCTCTTTCCCAACTACTCAGCCCTGCAGCTGCTGCGTGAAGGCTGTTGTACTGGGCTGGGCTGTGTTCCAGCAAAACTCCATTTATAAAAGGGGCAAGTGGCCTGGGGACCATAGTTTTCTGATTCCTAGTAAGTGAATAAACCCAAAACTTTTTTACATTCAGACATTTGCTGAGTAGGTAATTGTGAAAATCATTTAATAGAGTAATCATTTCTTTTTAAATTGCAGTATAATACACCTCAGTAGTGTAGTGCTTGAAGTGTACTAACCTTAATTGTGCAACTCAATGATTTTTAATGCGTGTGATACATAGCAAGCTATAAAGCAAGATCTACATCTAGAAGGTTTCCAGCAGGTTCTTTCATTCCTGCTCCCAGCCTAAGTACCCATCAGAAGTAACTACTCTTCTGACATGTCATTATTGATTAGTTGTGCCTGTGGTTGGACATCATGTAAATGGAAACTTGCAATGTGTGGAATAATTATTTAGAAATACTGGTGAGAAATATGTTTTATGAATATGGTAGAAAACAAGGGGCTATTTTACTGGAAGAGAAATTCATCTTTTGGTTTTATGCAAACCTCTGTAGAATGTAAACAGTGGAAGTTGTTTTAAGTGTTGGGTTTTGTCACCATGCAGATCAAAGGAAAGTTCTATAGCTTAATAGTGTGCCTCAAGTCCAGGGTTAGATTGAAGTTGGTGGTAGTAGGTTCAGGGCCTTTGTTCATTCTGCCAAATACAGATGTAACCTTTGGCCAAGATTTTGGTAAAGCTTTTTTTACACAGATTATAGGAAGCTCTTGATTATTTAAAGACTTTAAAATTCAGTCATTTCCAGACATCTCTTCAAGTTGTTCTCTTGTTGGGTCTTTTTTTGTTGTGAAGAGGAGGAGGGTGGTTAGTAGAAGGAAAATGAAGTGAAATAGACATCAGATAGCTGTTGGCCCTGGGAACTGTTCTCCCGCTTCCTCACTGTATTCTGTGCCCTGGAAACCTGACTCTTGGGGACAAAATTGGCAGACTCCCCTGCCCTCTGGCTTCCAGTTGGGGCAGGCAGTGAGAGGAACTGGAAGGCATTTTGTAGGTGGGAAAAGAACGAGTTTTGGGATATTTATTTCCCTAGCTTCTTTCCTGTGGGTGACCGCACCCCTCTGCCCTTGGCCATCGCTTCTCCCCGGGGGCTGTCTCTCCCGACAGGCCCCTCTCTGGGTTCCAGTACCCACTCTCCTCACTTCCCCTCCAGAACTGGGGCTGGCCACAGCTTTCCCAGGATGGCCAGCGCTAGGGTGCTGTGCTGTCTCTCGTTGGTCCCAAGTCCTGCCCACTCCTTTGTAATGTCCTCGAAACTGTTACCATCAATTCATCTAGTTTGAATGTGCCCTTTGTTTTCTGCCGGTATCCTCTTTGATACTTGTATATGAATTGAGCTGTGCACTGTTACACACAGATTCCTTGGGGGGGGGAGGCAGTTAAAAGATTAAGGAATGATATTCTTCGAAATTTTTCTTAAGCTTTTGCTGTTACCAAAGACAAAATATCCTATAATCATCTTCTCTGGCAAGATGTT